AAGAGGCGAAAGATGGTGAAAGAAGACAAAAGAGGGTGAAAGAGGGCGAAAGAGGACGAAAGAGGGTGAAAGAGGACGAAAGAGGGTGAAAGAGGACGAAAGAGGGTGAAAGAGGCGAAAGAGGGGTGGGAGTGGGCGTGGGAGTGGGGGTGGGGGTGGGGCGGGAGGCGGGATGTGGGAGGGAAAGGGGTGGGTGGAAGTTGAGGGAGGTGTGAGTGAAAGGTGAGAAGAGATTTATATATATATATAATCCTGATGACGTCAGCGGACAGAGAAGAAGACGACGTTACTTCATTTTTCATGAAAAACGTCACTTTTTGACCACTTGTATCTCCAGAACGGCTTGACCGATTTTATTTTTTCTTGGCTCAAATTACTCGTGGCGATGCCGCCTTTCAGGTTATATTACGTGCAATTCAAAATTTTTTATATTTTAGTAGTTCTACACCCCCAAAAAATGGACTTTGATGGTGCAGGATAAGGAGACTTGTAGTGTCTTTTAAGGTCTTTTAGGGTTTGAACATGGCCGGAGACACTACCGCGTCTCCTAATATTCCGATCGTTCGAAAATTCGAAACATTATTCTATATGCCTGATACGTAATAAAAAAATATATTTCTACTTACTACTTCTTCTTGTAGCGTGCGATGATCTCTGCATCTTTGCTGCACATCTGATCCGACTGATCGACACGAGACACGAGCACGACTCAACACGATTCGCACAAGACAACGACGCGACGCAACTGGACGACCAGGACGACTGCTACGAAAACGAAACTGGACGAAACGACGAAACAAATGAGCGGCGTAAACAGCACACAAGTGCGACTATGTATGTGTACATACGTATATACGTGTGTAGGTTTGCAAGCAGCGACACGAAAACAACAGCGTGCGCGCACGTGCTTCTGGCGTTCGACTTCGAGTAGTAGAAGAGGACAGATATATCATCTACTGTCTCTTTCTTTCTCGAGTCATGTTAGCGCTGGCGCCTGTTTTATCTCTCACGTAAAAATGAAATTATAAGTAGAGTACATCTTGTTATTATACAGGGTGTCCGGTAACTAACGGACCAATGATTAAGGGCGGATTCTCTGGCCAATTTGGAGACGATTTTTCCTTAGCAAAAATGTTGAGAAGTCAATAATTTTAGAGTTATAAGCGATTGAAAAAAATGGGTTTTTTGAAAACTAAACGTTTTGGAGTTAAAAGTCTAACATAATTACATTCTTCAGTTAATTTTAGATAGAATTTACTATAATAAAATTTTAATTTGAGGCTTAGTTATAAAGATACATAATGACAAATATTGGAAAGTTGTAAAAAATGATGACCTTTTTCGACATTTTCGCTGAGGAAAAATCGTTCCCAAATTGACCAAAGAATCCATTTGTAATCGTTGGTCCGTTAGTTACCGGACATCCTGTATATATGTATAATGTTATAACAATTTATCCATTTATTTATCCTATATATACGTACATTGCACCAAACATTTTATATAATATATATATATATATATATATTTTTTACGAATGATTTTCAAGAATATTTTGTTTTGGGGATATATATATATATATATATATATATATATCCCCAAAACAAAATATTCTTGAAAATCATTCGTAAAAAATATATATATATATATATATATATTCATAAAAATGTTTGGTACAATGTACGTATATATAGGACAAATAATGTAAAAATTATAAGTAGATATCAATGTAATTACATATGTCTAATGTTATATCATGAATATGATAATTTTATCCTTTATATTGAAAGTTCTTATTTCTCCTGTATTTCATCGGTTGCATAAAACATTTTCTTCAAGATCATTTTGCTTCAAAAATATTTTTTAAAAATAGAAGATACTTAAAAAATTATATGTATAATATTATACACACACACACATACATATATATATATATATATATGTGTGTGTGTGTGTGTGTGTGTGTGTATAATATTATACATATGATTTTTAAGTATGTTCTATTTTTAAAAAATATTTTCGAAGCAAAATGATCTTGAAGAAAATGTTTCATGCAACCGATGAAATACAGGAGAAATAAGAACTTTCAATATAAAGGATAAAATTATCATATTCATGATATAACATTAGACATATGTAATTACATTGATATCTACTTATAATTTTTACATTGTTACGTGAGAGCTAAAAGACAGGTGCCGGCGCTTACATGATTCTTGAGACGTTAGGTATATGTCTCGAGAAAGAAAGAGATAGCAGATTCTTGTCTGCGCTCTTCTACCTGAACGTCGAGCCGCCGAGCAGTATATGTATGTACACATGGTTTCTTCGTCATGTGGGCAGCGGACGAATGTGACATTTCTTCGACGAGCGTAGTTGGCTTTTCCCTAATCAAGATTTTTATGTTGCTACGCTCTCTTTCTTTCTTTCTCTCTCTGTCTCTCTCTCAAATTTCTCGAGCTACTGTACACACATATACATGTGTAAAGTATATAAATATATGTATGAAAGTTTGCTTTGATTTTATTTTTATACAAATATGTGTAAACGTGAAACAATAATCTGACTTAAAAAAAATTCGATTTATAAAGTTCCTAAAAATAATTTTACTCCATTATTGTTATAAACAAATTATGTCGAGACAATAATAATTTGGTTTATTACATATCGAGGCATAATAATAATTCCAAATTTTTTAGTGTGACGACATAGTTTTAATTCACTAATTTCAACAAATTAGTAATATTCCTGAAAAGAATTCATCAAATTTTTCATTATGTCCCGACGTGTAATTCAACAAATCATTATTATGCTACAACATAGTTACAATTGAGTGAAATTATATCCCAATAAAAATGTCGTAATAAAAATTCTCAATTATTCTTAAATAAATACCGCACTGTGTGTGTTATTATGTTCTGGCAATTTTAATTACTCAATAACAATTGAATACAATTATTCTTTGAAACTTAGCGACGTGCTACAGATTTGTTTCACGTTTACTCATATATTCGTATAAAAAAATTAAAATAAATTTTTTTTACATATATTTATATATTTTAAACGTGTATATGTGTGTATAATTGCTCGATAAATTAGGAGAGAGAAAGAGAGGGAGAGAGAGAGAGAGAGAAAGAGAGAAAGAGAGAGAGCGTAACCATTTTTTTCTATCTTCTTTCAATGGTTGGAAAACCCGATTTGATTGGCGAGATATCATATTCGCCCCTCTCACGCGTATATTTTTTTTAAATGATAAAAATAAATAAATCCATCAATATTTATGAAAAATAGGTTTTCTTTTAAATAATGTATACACGTAAACTTGATATGATACACAACGATTAATAGAAATAATTACTATATATATTTTAATTTGAAACATCTTTATTGAAAGATTTTAATTTTTTTTAAACGTTTATATCTCTATTATAAAATAATATTTGTGTGTACTTTATTACATAAATATTTATCATATATATATATATATATATATATATATATATGTATATCAGTGCTCGGAATTATCTCAGCATTTCAGCCGATTTTCGTATGTCGACGCCTCCTTTTCTCCCTTTGCCGCGCGCGCTGCAGCCGCTAGGACGAGCGCGGCCGAGCCTCAGGAACGGTACTATCCAATTATGATACGATCTTTCTCCCTTGATTTTTAAAATTTCAAAAAATGTATTAAACATAATTTTTTTTATATAATATTATTATTATGATTATATACCGTTTGATGAAGCATGGCAAAAGTATTTTTTAATCATAAATTTATGTTTATATTTTTATATTTTTATTGTTTAATCATAAATTCTCCTCTCTATTTTTTTCTCTACAGTGGAATAGGCCTACTAGGGGATACCACTCTAAAAAAACACGTCAGCAATAATACCTCACATGAAAATATATTGAAATATTTCTACGTATAATGTAAAAATAAAAAAAATTATGTTTAATACATTTTTTGAAATTTTAAAAATCAAGGGAGAAAGATCGTATCATAATTGGATAGTACCGCTCCTGAGGCTCGGCCGCGCTCGTCCTAGCGGCTGCAGCGCGCGCGGCAAAGGGAGAAAAGGAGGCGTTGACATACGAGAATCGGCTGAAATGCTGAGATAATTCCGAGCACTGATGTATATATATAAATATGTTCTTGTCGAAGATGTGAACTATATTTTAGAAAACGTTTATAAAATAAATAAACGTCTTTTTAATAATATAAAGAAATAAAAATAGTAGGCAGAGTAAAAAATCATTCAATATAAAAGTTTCTGATTGATTCTGTAGAAATTATAATTATGTCAAACATAATAATAATTTGATGAATAATGTTGGGACAAAAATTTTTATTATGTCACGATATAATTTGCATCAATTTTGTTTTATGTCTCGAAGTCATTTTTCAAATGTTTTAGAAAATTATTTTTTCATATTTTTTTATATTGCATGAAATTTTTTTACTCGGCATGCAATTTTTATTCCTTTATATTCATCATAAAAAAGATGTTTACTTATAGACAAATATACATGTACATACAGTTTGCAGTTTTTTAGGTATAAATGTGTTGTAATTCAAAACGTTCTTCTAAATATTTAGTTCACCTTTGACAATATTATTATATCTATGTGATAAGTATTTAGCTAAAATTAAATACCACTAATCACTTTATGTATATACAAACGGTTTAAAAAAAACGTGAATCAAATAAAAATACATATGATAATTATATGTATAAATAATTATGTCTAATAGCGAGTTTACGTATAAACATTTCTTACAAATCAATGTCTTTTTCGTCGTGAATATATAAACAGATCTACATATATACGTGTTATGTATTTAAGATGTATATGGAGAGTTGCGCGCCGCGAGGTAAAGGAGCCTAATCGTGACACCTTTCGGCGTTATCGTTCTAGTTTACCCCCGAATATCGTCTAAAGCCCGGCTTTTAGCCGAGTCATCGTCTCCCGCTGTCGCAGAGACCAGGACAGGCGCGTAGCGAGCGAATGCTCCGTTGATAAGCTCCGGTTACTCCGATTGTGTTCTAACTAATAAATAGTTCTGTGGTTAAAAGTGTTCGAATCATTAACTCCGGTTCTCCTTCTCTCAAATATAATATTCGAATATACAAGAATATAACAGCTGGCGACGAGGATGGGATCCTAGTAGGCGTAGTGAAAATCAGCCACGTGGAATTCGTGGCGAGAGTTTTGCCAGAGCCGAATGGGCGACGGTGTTCGAGAAACTACGCAACAGAGGAAGTGATTTGCCGAGAAGGAGGAAGTTAAGAGAAGATGCCGACGACGAGTTCAGGCTCAGGTACGCAAAGCCCGGTATCGGGACAAAATCCACCGGCAAAGGTAGCAATTGCAAACCCTTTGCAAGTCGATGTTTTCGACCCGCAGCGGCAGCCGTTAATTCGTTGGCTGCAGCGACTTGAAGGTGCCTTTCGAGTGTTTCAAATCTCGGAAGGCGCAGAACGTGTTGCTTACTTGCTACATTTCGTAGGCGTAGAACCGTTCGGGATTTTGTGCGACCGACTGGATCCTATCGATCCATATACTCAAACGTATGAGACGTTAATTGGAAAATTAAAAGAATTTTACGCGCCCGAGCCACTAGAGATAGCCGAGATATATATTTATCGGAAGCGTATGCAACGTACAGAGGAGACTGTCCAGGAATACATGGCGGCTCTCCAGAAATTATCGCTTCACTGCAAATTTGGAGAATATCTACCAATGGAACTACGGAATCAATTCGTATTCGGCTTAAGGAATCATCGGATTCAATCGAGGTTGTTGGAGACGGCGAATCTCACGAAGGACTCCGCATTAAAAATCGCATGCGGAATGGAAATGGCGGAGAAGGGCGTTAATAAACTAAAAGAAGAAAATCATCTATCGGAAACGACCGTTGACTACATTGGAGCTGGAGCAAAACAGAAGAAGACAAAGGGCCGTGATGATCGTACTGGAAACAGAGGAAATCAACAACAAGGGTCGAGGAAGGACGCAGCGACTTCGAAGCATTCCAATCTTGGCAAACATCATAAGTATACAAATAATAAGCGTTCGAACTCGAAAGTTAATGATATTGTTTGTTATAGGTGTGGTCAGGCTCATTTGGCGCCAAGCTGTACCCTTCCTCGGAACACTAAATGTAGAGAATGCGGAGGTTTTGGGCACCTCCAAACAGTATGTAAGAAGAAAGGGCAGGCCCACCTGTTAGAAGAGGTGTTCCGTGTGGATGACAGAGAGCATCTCGAGCACAGGGAAAAGTACACAGTTCCGCTTCAAATAGAAAGCAAGAGAGTGACATTCGACGTAGATTGCGGCTCAGCGGTCACATTGGTGAGCGATATATGGCGTAGAGAAACGTTTCCAAATTTAAAATTATATAATACGCGTTTGAAACTGCGCTCTTATTGTAAGAAAAATTTCGTGCCTCTCGGATTTATTAAAGTAAAAGTCAAAGATATAAATGAAAATAAAATATTAAATATGTACGTGGTTAAATACGATCGAGATCCATTGTTGGGCCGGGAGTGGATTAATCAGTTGAAAATGTTAAAGAAAATTAAAGATAGTCTCTTAGAAATAAAAGACGTGCATACTCTCGACGCGTCCGGGCAAGAACGGTTGGCTAATTTATTAGAAAAATATAGAAACGTACTAAGTGACGAATTTGCAAATATTAATAAATTTCAAGCTCATCTAAAATTAAAACCAAATGTAAAGCCTGTATTTATAAAAAATCGTGCGGTACCCTTTAAAATTTTAGAAAAAGTCGAAAAAGAATTAGAAAATATGGTAAAAGCAGGCATCTTGGAAAAAGTCGAGTCTTCGAATTGGGCAACGCCAATCGTACCGGTTTTAAAAAAAAACGGCGGAATTAGAATTTGCGGTGACTACAGTATAACAGTCAATCCGTCTTTAATTATAGATGAGCACCCCTTGCCCACAATGAAAGAATTGTTCGCATCTATGTCGGGAGGCACGATTTTTTCAAAAATAGATTTAAAACAAGCATATTTGCAGTTACCGGTCGCGGAATCTGATAGAGAGATTTTAACATTAAGTACACATAAAGGTCTATATAAATGCAACCGATTAATGTACGGAGTGGCATCTGCACCCGCGATATGGCAAAGGACAATGGAAAATATACTGTGCGGAATACCCGGGGTGGCTATATTTTTAGATGATATTAGAATTGCCGGTAAAGACATAAAACAACACTGCGAGAGATTAGAACTTGTTTTGAAAAGATTATCAGAATATAATATTCGCATTAATGTAGAGAAATGCGCTTTTCTTAAAGATAAAATATCCTATTGCGGATATATAATTAGCAAAAACGGAATTTCAAAAGAACCTAAAAAAATTGAAGCAGTCCAAAAGATGCCAAGGCCAACTAATACGACGCAACTTCGCGCTTTTATTGGATTAGTAAATTACTACGGACGCTTCATCGAACATTTAAGTGATAAAATGTACCCGTTAAATAACCTGCTAAAGAAAAATGTAAAATTTAATTGGTCGAAAGAATGTGAGACGGCTTTCAGAAAAATTAAAGTAGAATTCGGAAGTAAAAAAATTTTAGTGCCTTTTAACCCAAAGTTGCCATTGATACTCGCTGTGGATGCCAGTCCGTACGGAATAGGTGCAGTCCTTTCACACATGTACCCCGATGGTACAGAACGCGTAATTCAATACGCGTCAAACACATTAAATGAAACGCAAAAGAAATACGCGCAGATTGATAAGGAGGCTTTTGCAATTGTTTTCGGGATTAAAAAATTCCATCAATTTTTGTATGGAAATCATTTTACGCTTTTAACGGATAATAAGCCGTTGGCACAAATTTTAAACCCGCAAAAAGGCCTTCCGGCATACAGTGCACTGCGCATGCAGCACTATGCCGTGTTTTTGCAGGCTTTTAATTTTGATATAAAGTATCGTAAATCCATAGATCATTGTAATGCAGATGGGTTCTCACGATTGCCCATACAAGAGAAAAGCGTAGGAAAATTCGACGTAATTGATGTATTGCAAATGGAAAACGTAGAAACATTACCGGTAACTGCAAAAAGTATTAGAGATGAAATAAATAAAGATGCGTTATTATTAAAAATTCGTCAAACCTTGATAAAAGGCAAAAGTTTAGTTCCGCTGGGTTATAATGATGGCGAGTTTGCGTTGCAGGATGGTATCGTGTTTAGAAAAGAGAGAATAGCTATCCCGAAAAGCTTAAGAAGTAAAGTATTAAAAGAATTGCACGCAGGGCATTTTGGAACGGTAAAAATGAAAAAACTTAGTCGAAATTTTTGTTGGTGGCCAAAAATAGACAAAGAAATAGAAGAAATAACTAAAAATTGTAAAGCATGTGCCACGTTTTTAAATAATCCAAGAATCAAAGTTAAACACGCCTGGGAAGCGGCGTCAGAACCTTTTGAGCGCGTACATATAGATTTCGCGGGGCCGTTTATGAGCCACACTTTTCTAGTATTGGTCGACTCGTACACAAAATGGCCTGAAGTTCACATTGTAAAAAACATGTCCGTCCAAAACACGATAGAAAAATGTAGGGAAATATTCGCAAAATTCGGATTGCCACGAGTCCTAGTGTCGGACAACGGGCGAACATTTATTGCAGAAGAATTCGAAAATTTTCTTAGAATAAACGGAATATACCATAAGCGCACAGCACCCTACCATCCTGCTACAAATGGTTTAGCGGAACGTTTCGTACAAACGTTAAAAAAATCACTACGAAAATTAAATATTAGTAATGGCAACATTAAGACCAATCTACAGAAATTTCTATTTCAGTATAGAGTAACACCTCATGCAGAATTAGATAAATCTCCGGCGGAAGCCATGTATAACCGTAAATTAAGAAGCAGATTGGACTTAATGTTCCCGAAAACTAATAAAGAAATTGAAATGGAAAATATAATAGTTGTAAGAAATTTTAAAGAAGGCGAAAGAGTCGCCGTGCGAGAATATTTAAACAAAAACGTAAAATGGCGATTTGGGAGAGTATTAGCTAAGCTAGGGAAATTACATTACTCAGTTAAATTAGACAACGGAAAAATTTGGAAACGTCACTCAGATCAAATAAGGAAAATAGGAGAGAAAATTAGTGACCCGATTGATGAGGCGAATAACCTTGGTGAGACTGACCATTATGGTCCAGTCGAGGTAGCACGGGATGTTCTAACTCCAAGCGATAACGAGCAAGCGAAAACTGTGCACAAAAACTCTGACCCTGCCAGCTCGAGTTGCTACTCCGAAAATCCCAATACAACGGAATCCGAGGAAGGGGAAGCTGCAAGAGCCGACGACACACGCACGCGTAAATCAAAAATAAGTTTGGAACAAAATGTAAACGAAAACAATGAGGGCCGACCTCAACGTTATAGAAAACCGCCTGATAGGTACGGTATATATTTATCGCAAATTTAAGGTGTATACAAGGAAAATTATATATTAGTTTTAAGTAAAATTGTAGCTGCGAAGTTATGATAAAATTGTTAAGACACTCAGTTCAATTTCACAGGGGGAAGAGCTGTTATGTATTTAAGATGTATATGGAGAGTTGCGCGCCGCGAGGTAAAGGAGCCTAATCGTGACACCTTTCGGCGTTATCGTTCTAGTTTACCCCCGAATATCGTCTAAAGCCCGGCTTTTAGCCGAGTCATCGTCTCCCGCTGTCGCAGAGACCAGGACAGGCGCGTAGCGAGCGGATGCTCCGTTGATAAGCTCCGGTTACTCCGATTGTGTTCTAACTAATAAATAGTTCTGTGGTTAAAAGTGTTCGAATCATTAACTCCGGTTCTCCTTCTCTCAAATATAATATTCGAATATACAAGAATATAACAATACGAAAAATAAAATAAGTTATTTTGCTTACGCGCCAAAAACGTCTATTGCGCGTATGACCGGGCTGGTACATACCTACACTTGCGCGCATTGTGTACTGCTATCTGTACGCGGCTTGCAGTAATAGCGCGAGATAACAGCTGACTTACACACGTTGAGTCTAGACAGACTGTGTATATACGTGTAGTGAAAGCTGTATAGTGTTTATAGTAGTAAGTGTATAGAAGTGTTTAGAAGAGTGTATACAAGTAAAAGAAGAATATATTATAAAAGTGATGGGAAGAAAATACGACAAAACACATTTGCCTCTCACTCGCCGCAGGATGTCGCGAAAGAAAGGATGGATGAAAAGGTTAGTAACACCATTTTAAATTTAGGTGTCCGAAAATTCGCAGAACACCCTGGGAAGGTAGAGAGTGTTATCTGAACAGAAAAGTTCTGTATCATTCTCTACCTTCTCGAGTGTTCCGCGAATTTTCAGACATCCTGTATAGAACTTGGGTTCGGCGAAGCAATCTGAAACGTCTGGATGCTCTTTTGACTCATTCTGTTATTTATTATATATAAATTTATTAGTGATGTAAAAAATACTTTGAAAAAAAAAAATATTTTTAATAATTTTTTTCTTACATTAGATTTATACAGAGTGACCAGAAGTCCAAAAAAGGTGGAATATTTCATGAATAATGCGATTTTGAAAAAAATATTTTAAACTAAATTCGTAAAACAAGGCGTATCATAATTTTATAACCCAATTATATTGTACCTTACAGTTTTTTAAATTTTAATGAAAATAAATTAAACTTACAATATAATTATATATAATTATAGATAAATAGACTAAAAGTAGAATTACACTTAAAAATACTGTGGCCTGAAATTTTCCAATCAGTGTATTGTAATAGAACAAAAATAGAGTAAAGAAAGAGACGTCTGCAACGTCTTAGATTTACTTTGCCGAACCCAAACAGAGTATCCCAACGTATTCCAAGCTTTGAGTGCATAAAGAATAAAAAAAATTTTATAATTGTTGCAAAAGATATAGCCGGGCAAGCATAGTGCCCCCAACTAGTTTATAAATGACATTTGGCCTGTCATTTTCTAACTATAAAAAACAATTTTTCCTAGTTTTGCTCCCTAACTCTATAATGTCCAGAGAAAAGGTTATTTTTATTTCTTTTCTCTATCGCAAATATTTTACATTATCACACATCAATTTTTTGCTAAATTCTAATAAACCAAAGACACCAAAAAAATTTTTTTTATTCTCGAATAAGAACTCAATTAAAAATTTTAAATAAAATAAAGAAATGGCCTTTTCAGTACGTTCCTTTCGAGGTTCAATCACAAAACTTTTACAGAATATTTTGTCTTTGTCTCAATACTCTCAAATTGTTTCAAATTTTTCGAGTTGGTGCATCATTTAAAAAAAAATAAAAATTACTTTTTTTGCATTATTTCCAAACATTATTTATTTTTCTTATAACAATTATAGTTTTGATCATACATAAAAAATATAAAATTATGTTTATACAAAAATTACAGCAACTTTTACAAAGATGTAATCGAAAAGTAAATTTCTATATGAGAAGAAATTAGCTCTTTTAAATTTTTGAATATAATGCTAAAAAATAGTTTTTATTTTTTTTAAGATATTCCAACAACTTGAAAAAAATTGAAAACTTTGAAAGTATTCAGACATAAAAAAAAGAATATTCTGTAAAAGTTTGGTTATTGAACCTCGAAAGAAACATTCTGAAAAGGCCATTTCTTTATTTTATTTAAATTTATCGAGTTTTTATTCGAGAAACCAAAAAAAATTTTTTTTAGTGTCTTTGGTTGATTCTGCAAAAAATTTATGTGATGATGTAAAATATTTGCGATAGAAAAAAGAATTAAAATAAAAATAACCTTCTCTCAGGAAATTATAGAGTTAGGGAGCAAAACTTTTGGAAAAATTGTGTTTTTTACAGTTAGAAAAAGACAGGCCAAATGTCATTACGAAACTCGTTGGGGACACTTTTATAATAGCATGCTTACCCAGCTATGAACTTTGCTCATTTTTGCTTTATTTTAAAGAAAATAAAGCCATGTTGGTAAATTCATTCAAATATGTACATATTGTTACATGTATTATTAATTTACTTGTACACTTCTAATGAGTAACAGACTAATTTTAAATAAAAAGAGAATAAAATAAACGCAAACAAAAAAAACCATACAATAATTTTGTTATCACGGCTCTATCTTATTTTACTTCAAAGATTTTTAATTTGCTCTAATTTTATATTTTGCAATGTTTATTTTATGATATTTTTTGATATATTTTATTACTGCTTTAAATTTCTGTACCATATTTTTTGTTTGCATTATTATTAAATAAAATACGTTATAGAAAAAAAGAAAGTTTCCTAAAATAAAATTATAAAATTATAAATAAATGCAAGATAGTAACCTGCTTACTTTTATTTGTTTATATTTACATCTCTGTTGTTTTCTTACAAATTATATTACAGTTATTACTCTTCAAAAATGTACATGTGAATTCATTAGACTGGTGACAATATATCGCGTACATTCAAATGTTGAATAAACTAATATTTTTTTGGTGATTTTCTACAACACAGCATAAATGAGTAAATCTGAAATATAATATTTTCTCCATTTTCTTTACACACCCAAAGTTTTGATATTTTGAGATACGCTGTATAAAAATTGTGGAAATTTTTTTGTTCTGTTTTACAATAATTTTATATATAATAACAATTAAATAATATTTTATATATTATTTGTTAACATTTTTTAATTACAAATTTGTTAAATTAATTTTAAAAATTATTATAAATTATTATTAGAAATTATATTTAAATTGTTTTTTACTTACATTTTTTAAACATTTTTATTTCAAATAAAAATAAATAAAAAATAATAAAATAATAAATTTTATTTAAAAAAATTTTTTCATATTTTTAATTTTTATATACTTTACTAGTACGAACTGTACTAATTTTTTTACCAAAGTATAAAAAATACTTTTTGTATAATTTTTAGATACAGAGTAATTGACAACTTGTTCTTGAAATGTTATATCCATGAGTGAATTCTGAGACAATTTAAAATGTTGCTAAAAGCCTATTTTTAATATTGTAAATATTGCTATTTTGTTATATTGAGAAGGATATACTACAAAATATTTTTATTTTAATACTTGTAAAGAAATTAGTTATTACCAAGAAAAAAATAATATAATAATACCGTAAAAGTATAAATAAAAAAATCTGTTTATTTTTATTTTGTTATCTATCTTGAAAACAAAATCTTTGAAAATAAATTACTTTATACAATATATATACTAAATTTACAGAGTAGTGGTGGTAGTGGTGGTAGTGGTGGTAGTGGTGGTAGTGGTGGTAGTGGTGGTAGTGGTGGTAGTGGTGGTAGTAGTAGTAGTAGTAGTAGTAGTAGTAGTAGTAGTAGTAATATAAAGAGTATTATACTTTTATTATTACAGTTGTTAGCACCAGAGGCGATCTTTTCGTGGGCTGGTTATATAAAATCCAGAGGCGGTCTATTCGTGTGCTGGTTATATTAAATCCAGAGGCGATCAATTCGTGTGCTGGTTATATTAAATCCAGAGGCGATCAATTCGTGTGCTGGTTATATTAAATCCAGAGGCGATCAATTCGTGTGCTGGTTATATTAAATCCAGAGGCGATCTATTCGTGTGCTGGTTAGAAACGATTTGCATGTGTGTTCTGGTTATACAAAATTTGATCCAGAGGCGATCTTTTCGTGGGCTGGATTATATAAAATCCAGAGGCGGTCTATTCGTGTGCTGGTTATATTAAATCCAGAGGCGATCTATTCGTGTGCTGATAATTAAAAAAAATATTACACAATTACAATTACAATTTTACATTAGATGTGGTTTGCATGTGCGCTACAGTAGTAGTATTTATATTGTTAGCTATCTATTTTTTCAGTAATACATAATTTTATAATTAATAATTTATTTTTAATTGTACATTAAAATAAAGTTAATAGTAGATATCTTGTATCGCCAGTGATGAATAAAATTAAAAATAAATGTGAGACGACTCAACTGGCTTAAATTAATTCTTATTATTATTAGTTTGATGCCATGTACAAGAAAAGACAACGTTTCGACCTTAGGTTTAGGTCCTTATCAAGTCTAAAATTAATATTAAAAAATACAATAGATGTACAGACAAGAATTTTGATTTTTAAGAAAGTAAAGCGCAAACCAAGATTATAATAACAATTTAAACGTACCTTACAAATTCTTTAGTGCAATATATAATTAATTTTTTTCATTTTACATATTTCAATATAAATACTGTGTCACGTAAACGTTCAGTATGGATGGTAAAGACGAACTAAATTAAACAGCTTTGATTATTCTATCATAGATCGGATTCAAATTCTCTGTGTCTTTCTGTAGGTTGATCGTGTTATTAAATTTTTTTATAAAAAACATTTCAGCAATCTCTCTTTTCCTAGTGTTTGTTTCTCGATGTAAAATATTTAAGTTTGTCCATTTAAAGTCATGCGAAAAATCATTTCTATGTTTGCTTATAACATTTTGATTGCTGACATGCATTTTTATATTAAACCCCGAAAAGACAAATTACCTAAAGCCGATATGACCGAGATAGTTTATAAAGTTGACTGCAATGACTGTGACGCCACATACATCGGACAAACTAAAAGACACCTTAATACTCGGATTAAAGAACATATGAATAATATAAAAATGCATGTCAGCAATCAAAATGTTATAAGCAAACATAGAAATGATTTTTCGCATGACTTTAAATGGACAAACTTAAATATTTTACATCGAGAAACAAACACTAGGAAAAGAGAGATTGCTGAAATGTTTTTTATAAAAAAATTTAATAACACGATCAACCTACAGAAAGACACAGAGAATTTGAATCCGATCTATGATAGAATAATCAAAGCTGTTTAATTTAGTTCGTCTTTACCATCCATACTGAACGTTTACGTGACACAGTATTTATATTGAAATATGTAAAATGAAAAAAATTAATTATATATTGCACTAAAGAATTTGTAAGGTACGTTTAAATTGTTATTATAATCTTGGTTTGCGCTTTACTTTCTTAAAAATCAAAATTCTTGTATGTACATCTATTGTATTTTTTAATATTAATTTTAGACTTGATAAGGACCTAAACCTAAGGTCGAAACGTTGTCTTTTCTTGTACATGGCATCAAACTAATAATAATAAGAATTAATTTAAGCCAGTTGGGTCGTCTCACATTTATTTTTAATTAAAATAAAGATTTATTTTTAAAAGATTTTGTTTTCAAAAATATTTATAAATATTTTTTTATAATTTTTATAATAATATTTAACAAAATACTTATCAATAAATGTTTTCTTGCAGGCGACAGTTACTTATCAGTGAGAAGACAAAGCAAGACGTAAAAAACTTGTCGGAGATGTGTCAAATTGTAAGTGATACAGGTATGTATAATGTCGAACAAGATGTTCGATTAGCTAATAAATTAGACTCGAGAAGCATTGAAGATGTTAGTATGGAATCCGTCGACTTTAAAACATCGGATGAATTATTTCCCGATATGACGTATTCAAATATCAAAACAATGCAGTGTCTCGAGTCAAATACATGCATGTATGTCGAACAAGATATTCGTCTTTTCGACGATAACGAAAAGTTAATTGACTCGAGAAGCGTTGAGGATACTAGCGAATCCGTCGAATCGGAAGAATTATTTCCCGATACGACGGATTCGAAAATCCAATCAATGCTGTATCAGAAGTCAAATACAGCTATGTATTCTGTAAAGCAAAATGTTAAACTTGGCATAGATAAATGTTTCGAAAGCATGTATATTGATGATTCCAATGACTCCAAAAGCATGCATTATGATAAATCCATTGATTTTGAAAAATCGGTAGAATCATTTACCGATACAATGGATTCTAATATTCAAGTAATGCGATGTCTAGAGTCAAATACAGATATATGCAATGTAGAAAATGGTGTCGAAGATGACAAATATTATGTTATAGAAAAAATTAAAAAGAGCTCTATTGATAAAGATGATATCAAAGAAAATTTGCCTGCAGGCCGTCGCATTATGGACTTCTCTTTTATATGGACTGAGCTGCACAGAATCTTTGACAGACATAATAAAGCACTGGACTGCTCGTCAATTGAAAATTTGTTACTTATAAAGTCTGAAAAATGTGGGTTGAAAACCCAGCTGTTCTTCCAATGTAAAATGTGCAAAACAAAAGCCAGCATTTGGTCAGAACCCACAAAACCGGATAATGGACATTAATACGGCTGCTGTAGCAGGAACACTTACTGTGGGAACTGGTTATGCCCAGCTGGAAAAGCAGCTTGCAGTCATGAATGTTCCTAGCATGTCCGAGCCAATGTACATCAAGAGTAGAGACAAATTAGTCGACGAGTTTGTAAACACATCTATAGAAAATATGAAAACGGCTGGTGAAATTGAAAAAAAAATCGCTCTTGATAACAACGAAGTTATAAACGGTATTCCGTATATAACAGTTGTAGCGGATGGTAGTTGGATGAAAAGATCGTATGGTACCACGTACGACTCTCCTGCCGGTATTGGAGCCATAATTGGTTACCGCACGAGAAAGGTTCTCTACGTCGGTGTTAAAAATAAATATTGCATAATATGCGATATGGCAGAGCGAAGAGGTATCGAGCCGAAAACTCACAATTGCTATAAAAATTTTGATCGCAACGTAAGCTCCACAAAAATGGAGAGCGATGCCATTGCAGAAGGTTTTAATTGTAGCCTCGAAATGCATGGTCTAATTTTTAAAACGCTTGTTGCTGACGGTGACAGTAGCGTATACCAAAGTATTAAAAATAATAATCCATACGGAGAACATATGATAACAGTTACCAAAATAGAATGCACGAATCATCTGCTACGTAATTTATGTAAAAAAATTAAAACTGTAGCAGAGAAAACTCGGCCAAAAACATCCAGACGGCCTGGCTTAATACAAGTGCGAAATGTAATAAAAAACAAAATTTTAGAAATACGAAAGGAAATAACTGAGGCAGCCGCTCTACGAAGACAAGAACGGCAACCTCAACATCGTCAGGCTATGGAATTACAAACAGATATTTTAAACATTCCTAGGCATGTTTTTGGCGATCACAAGCAATGCAAAGAACGTGGCAAAGAGACTTGCGATGGAGAAGAAAATTATATAGATTCTTTAAAATCACATGGTCTCTATTTAGAAATAGAAGAAGCTGTCGAGTATATAAGTGGTTACTCTGACAGCTTATTGTTAAATTATACGAATAACATTACAGAGTCATTTAATTCGTCGATCTGCGCACAAATTGGCGGCAAACGTATTCTTGTTAATAAAAAAGGTGGTTACAATGCTAGAGTTGCGGGGGCAGTTTTGCAATTTAATACGCAACAAGTAATTACAGAAGTACATAAAAGCATGAATAAGACTGTTCCGCCTATTGTCGAGAAGTTGGAGAAGCGCCGAAGAGAAAAATTAGAGAAAAATAAAGAGTATCGACAAATAGAAGGAAGATCAAAAAAATTCAAACAAAAATCGGGAACAGACTCTTATTATGGTCCACACTCGCAAAAACCGGATCTACCGTCCGATGTAATCGAGCAATTTCGACAAAATCATTTTAAAAAATTGTCCGAAAATGCAAAAAATTGGCAAAAAATTGAACGCGACACTACAAAACAAAATGAATCACAACAATGGCTACAATTGAGACGTAAAATGTTAACGGCATCTAATTTTGGAACCGTATGTTGTAAAAGAATGAAAACGTCTTGCGCATTGCCTGTGAAAAATATTTTATATCCTTCTGCTATTGAAACCGAGGCAATAAAATATGGTCGCGAAAAAGAACCAATTGCGAGAAAAGAATTAGTCGAAATACTAAAAAAAAGAGATTAAACCTTGTGGATTATTCATTGATATTGAACATCCATACTTGGGTGCTTCTCCAGATGGACTTATAGATGAAGACGGTCTGGTAGAAATAAAATGTCCGCACTCAGCTAAGAACTTAACAGCTGAAGAAGCTATAAAGATGACTCCACTAAAGAACATCTTTGATAAGAAAAATTCAGAACAAATAAATAAAAATCATAAATATTTCTATCAAATTCAAGGCCAGTTAAATATAACGCGGCGAGAATATTGTGTTTTTACTATGTGGACGCCAAAAAGCTTAAAAATAATACGTGTTATAAAGGATAATGATTTTTGGAGTAATAAAATGCTACCCTTTTTAACAAATTTCTATTATAATTGCATGCTGCCAGAAATCTTGGATAGTCGGCATAATAGACATACAGGGTTTGTCCGGAAAGTAATGCGTCGCATTTTTTTGTGACGCGACTATACATCGCAGAGCGATGGGACCGGTTGGGGAGGAAGGGGGGTACCCTTAGCTTTCCAACGGTAGGTCGCTCAATTGTTTCCATGCGCTTGGAGGGTTAGGACGGCTTATTCTGTGAACCTCTGCTTAGTGGTCGCGTCGAACTTGTGATGGAGAGAACGATAGAGCAACGCTATGCGATAAAGTTTTGCGTGAAGCTGGACAAGACGCCGCTGGAAACTTTTGAAATGCTCAAGAAAGTTTTCGGGGACGATTGCCTTTCCAAATCGCAGTCAAACAAATGGCACAAGATGTTTAGAGAAGGTCGGAAGGAGGTCGCCGACGAGGCCCGCGCAGGACGCCCGTCAACATCGCGAACGGACGACAATGTGACTCGTGTGCGCCAATTATTGAATTCAGACCGTCGAATGAATGTTCGCTTAATGTCGGAATTATTGAACTTGCCGAAAACGATTGTTCACGAGATTGTATCGGAAGACTTGGCCATGCGGAAGATTTGCGCAAAACTTGTGCCCAGAGTGTTGACCGATGCGCAAAAGCAACACCGAGTGGAAGTTTGTGAAGAACTCAAGCAACTCTGTGCAGATAATCCCAATTTCCTGAACAACGTTATCACTGGGGATGAGTCATGGGTCTTTCAGTACGATCCGGAGTCAAAGAGGCAGAGTGCCTCGAGTCGGTTGACAACGTACAAGCTACTTCGACGGCCTCCCTGAACAGCATCCCAGTCAAGGAGTTCCAGAAATCTTATGACGCATGGAAATCGCGTTGGCAAAAATGTATTGACGCAGAAGGGTCATACTTCGAACAATTTTAAGTTGTTTTACCTATGCGATCAATAAATTCTTTTTTAAAAAAATGCGACGCATTACTTTCCGGAAAAACCCTGTATGCCTATTAGAAATCCAGATTATATAATAGAAGCTCAAAAAGGGGTAAAAAAATTAAATAGTTGTCGACAATGTAATACAGAAAACAAAAATATTATCAAAGAAAGTCAATGTTGCGAATATAATAGTTTATCTATGAAAGCAACTGTCACTCCTGTTACTGTTATAAGTGCGGAACAAGATGACGATTGCGCTATTGTAAATAGTTACTCACAAAATAAAAAAGAACTAACTGAAAACGATATGGCACGACAAAAAAATTTTCTCGATAATCGTCCTATATCTGATAGTGAAATAGAGAAAAATGTGTTACCTGTGGATAGTCTAATAAACGACGATTCATTGGACAAATTCTTGCGCGTCGTAAAAATACATGTCCTTTTGAAACACAAAGTGTGTTATATTTAGAATATTCTCATTTAATTGAAGCAAGTCGTAGCGACAAAAGCTTACAAATTATTGGAGGAAATTGCAGTAATCATTGGCGATGTATATTTTTTGACGGCACCAAGCTTCGAGTGTATGACAGTCTACCCGATTGTACATACAATAAATTGGTGCCTAAAGAAAAAAATTACATTCATCGTCGTTATCCACAAATAAGTGCAAATGATATTATATTTGAAAAGGTTCAAAAACAACCTGATGGCACATGTTGTGGAATTTATGCTGCAGCTTTCGCTACAACTATAGCTTTAGGAGAAAATCCTTGTAATATGACATATTCGAATCGTATTGATAATATGAGGCAACATTTTCTTTACATTATCGAAGAAAATAAACTGTCGCCTTTTCCAAAATTCTAAAAAAAGAATCTTTAGGAAAAGATGCCTCAAATAAATATAACACAAATTTTATGTATTTATATCTAACGATATATACATAAAGAGGTGCATGTTTTTGTATATATCGAAATTATATATATATCGATTTTGCAAATAATACATAAATGTCAATATTGCTATAAATATCAGCACTTGTCTCTTCTCCCTGTAAAATGAAACAAAAATTCTTTCTCGATTTACACCTACCTTGTCGTGGTGAAAAAGCTTTATACTAAAAGGTGTAAATAAGAGAGCAACAAAAAATTAAATTAGAAGTACATTTTATATCATGTTTTTTAGTGTCTAAAAGAAATTGTACAGACACTTGTACCTTTTCATCATATAAATATAAATATAGAAACACATATACATATTATGTATGTCAAAGTGAACAATAAATTGTGTTCAAATAAAGTAAAAAAAAACACATTTATATTTATATTCTTATCATCGACATTATACGCAAATATATGCGTATAAGATGATGTGTAACAATGTGTATATATAATTATTTTGTATAAAATTACAAGTTATATAAAATGGGACATTCTATTTAAATATATATCCTATATATACATATATATATATATATATATATATATATATATACATAGTTATACATATAATGCGTACAATATATGGATATTTATTCATATACGTATATGCATATACATTTTGATAAATATACAAAGGTCAAATATAGGTTATTGCAGGTTAGAAAAAATAATGACCTACAATTATTACAATTTTTTACCATAAATAGAAAAATGAATGCTTCATATAAATATGACATGCAAGATTTTTATTTGTGTGTAATATGTATGTATGTACGCATATACATATATAAATACATATATAAATAAAGAGAATTACTTACCACGTTCACGGTTCGCCATTATGCAAACACACTGATCTCTCTCTTTCTCTCTCTCTCTCTCTCTATATATATATATATATATATATATATATATATATACTTATATATGAGAGAGCTTTCATGTAATTGATGCGTTGATTTTGATGCGTTTATAGCAGTTTTATTTTATATATATTTTAAGTACAGTTTAGTGTACTTTTTAGTAGCATTGAGTATAGAGTATTGTTTTGTATACAGTGTACAGCGTTTTCTTTTATCAGAGCTTTTAGTTCAGTATTATTAGTATTATTTAGAGCATATTAT